GTGGGGACGGCCGCAGCAGCGGTGGCAGTGCCGGTGGTGGCAGCAGGGAGAGAGGCGGCACAGGCCGGTGAGCGCCGTGGCAGTGCCAGTGCCGGTACTGGTGCCAGTGACAGCACCAGGAATGGTGCCAGTGCCATGACAATGCCAGTGCCAGTGCCGGTGACCGTGTCCTGGCAGTGCCAGTGCCGATGACAGGACAGTGGCAGTGATGGTACCGCGGCAGTGTGGGTGACAGTGACAGTGGCGATGGCAGTGGCGGTGACGGCGGTGGTGGCAGCCTCATCTGTCATTCCGGCTGCGGCCGCGTCCCTCTGCCATCTGTCACCACCCGGTGCCAGCGCTGGCACCGCCACCACCACCACCGTCACCCCTTCGCTGCCGGAGACGCTGTCACCGCCATGGCCCGAAGCACCGAGGGGTGGCGCGAGGGGCCCCGGCTTTGGGCTTTGTCCTGTGGGGGACACGGGGGGACACGGCTCCACAAAGCCCCCAGCCCCCCCCAAGCACCCGGTGCCCACCATGGCCAGAGGGGACCCAGGCGTCCGGCACGTCCGAGCCCCCGTGTCCCCGTGCACACGCGTGTGCAGCCGGTGTGCGTCGCACAGGGCCCATCGGCCCCCCCGTCCCCACCAGCTGCTTGGGGGCCGCCAGTGCCAGATGTGCCACCGCGACCGGCTGGGGCCGCAGATGGAGCTGAGCGTGGCGGGGGGGGGGACACAGCGCTCACACACGCCGCCACATGCGACGACGCTCCCTGACGCGCCATGACACGCCCTGACACATTGCGACATGCTCTGACATGCCGCAACCTGCAACGACACGCCCCGACACGCCAGGACAGGCACCAACACCATGGCACGTTGGCTGCCGGCCCCGGGGACGTGCGTGGGACAGGGACCCAGGCATCCGGGACCCCCTCGCCCCTGGGGCTGGGCAGGGAGACCCTGGGGAGGGAAATGCCCCCGCGGTGGGAAATCGGGGCGGTGGGCTCTCGGCGGTGGGGAAGGACAAAGGCGGGAGTGAAGGAACCACAGAGGCCCCAAAATCGGGCAGAGCCGCCCCAAAATGGGCCAGTTTCCAGCCCCGCCCCTTGGCCCGGTTTAGGGGGGTTCACTGGGGGGGTGGGGGCTGGGAGCCCGGACACCCGGGTCCCCCCTGGGGGGGCGTGGAGGGGCTGGGGGCTGCAGCGGTGGC